CGCAGAGCAGAGAGAGGAGCGGAGGGGGCGCCGCAGAGCAGAGAGGGGAGCAGAGTGGGGCGCCGCAGAGCAGAGCGAGGAGCGGAGGGGGCGCCGCAGAGCAGAGAGTGGAGAGGAGGGGGCGCCGCAGAGCAGAGAGTGGAGAAGAGGGGGCGCCGCAGAGCAGAGAGAGGAGCGGGGCCCTGCAGACAAGAGGAGCAGAGGGGGCGCTGCAGAGCAGAGTGGAGCAGAATGGGGCACTGCAGGCTGCGAAGGCCCAGGAAGTGACTCCACCAGGTGACAGCAGTGTTCGCTGGACAGAATGCTGGCTCAGTTTTTTGTTGTTGTTGTTGTTTTCATAATTTAAATTTGAATTTGTTTGGAAATAAAAATGCAAATTAAAAGACCTACAAAGTTGTCACACAAAATGCCATCTAAGGATATCATCACATGCTACATTTACTCGGAAAAAGTGATCTTATCTAGATCTTCTCAAGACTAATAGTTGTTAAGTATAAATGTGAATTCCTTCCTGTGAGCCAAAGGGAAGTTCACGCAAGATGTCAGAGTGAAGGTCTGTGAAGCGCACAGGGGCAGCCAGCCACGCCAAGCACCTCCATGAGCAGGCAGCCTGAGCCTGGTCTCCTGGCTGGGGCTGAACTCCAGCCTGCAGTTTCCACATACGCTCTGAGGCTCCGACTGGATGCTTCCAGACCCTGTTGCTGTGGTCCTTTCATTTCAGGTAACGATACAAAACATGACCACCATTTTTCCTGTTGTGAACTAGAAATTCTGTGGCTCTTCAGAAAAGCTCCACTACAGGAATTTCTCACTTGGTTCTTCTCCACAGGCCTCGGGAGTATCTTCCACACACACCATATGCTGCTGAAGAAATTATCTGGCAGGACTCTTCGCGGTGGCATCGACAGCCCTGCCTCTTTGGACAGAGCCACATCTCTGCTCAGGCCCCCACTGTCTCTCAACTGCAGACTGCCCAGCGATCCGCTCTGTCCTTTCCTTACGTTCCACTGTTTCTTCTACAGACAATACTGCAGTATGTCTCTGCCGAATGCCTTCAAGCCACCCTAGTAATAGTTTGAGGGCTTTACATGGCAGGGCTTCATATATTTTGCTCGTGTGTAAATTCTACCTGATTCATATAACAAATGAGAAGAAATGTGCTGGAATTGGCACCTGATAGTTATGCCTCTATCTCTCCAGTATTATTGAATGTTAGCCTTAAAAGACTCAGCTCAACTTACTCATACTTTCATTTAAATATACTCTTTGCTTGTCAATAGGAGACATGTTTCTTTTTATAAGAAACACATGCTCAGAACAAATATCACAAAAATCATGAAATATAATGTCATTTTTAAAATGCAGTCAATTTCTTTTTATACATCAATTCTAAAATAAAGGATCAGGCCAGAGAGATAGCTCAGTAGAAATAGCGCTTGCCTGGCAAGCACAAGAGCCTGAGTTCAATCCCTGGTTTGGCAATAAAATAAAATAAAAGATCAAACCTTCGATCAGGCCATGGGTTCTCAAGGTCTAAGGCATATTAGTGCACATCATCATTTCTGGAGTCTAACAAAAACTAGAGCGCAGTCTTAAGGGTGTATAGGAGTGGCATCAAAATTCACTACTGCAATGTTTAACTTCCTCATTATTTGAAAATTCATAACAACATCACAAAAGGTTGCTAATTATGAAAGATGTAAAATTACAATATGCCTTTCATAGTGATTATAGCAATATCCATATTCCTTTATTCCTAATTAAACTCAATTTGAGCTACCGGACTCTGAGCTGGAGGCAGCTTCACTGTGGTTATTTCACTAGGGAAATGGCATAGTACTGAGGTACTCAATGAGAAGGAAACACAGTATAGTCTATATTGTTTCTGCACTTGACATACAAACTTTAAAAAGCCAATCACTAAAGTAAAGTTCTTTTGTGAGCCTGGACACAAAATTTAGAATTCATTCCTTTGTGTGAAAAGTGGACTCATAAGAAAAGGACTCAAACCTCAGATGTGCGTAAGCTCAGCTTGTGTGCACAATTTCGGCGTAGCATAGTGACTGGCTGGACCAGGGCCTGTCCTTTCATCTGGCCAGGAATTTGGCCAGGAACAGTACCCTGGCACTGTGGGCTGTGCACACAATAGCCAGCCTGCGCTGGTATTTCCTGGCATGCCATGTTGTCATCAAAACCACTTTCCGTCTCAGTGCCACAGTCCAGTTCTGTAACCTGGAAATCCTGAGTAATAAGAAGTTTGGATTTTCCAACTAGACTTCTACAAAATTACACAACTAAAGGTGCTCCTTTTGCTATGATAATCTTTAGAGGCACTGTGCATCAATTCAATAACTTCTTCACATACAAGATTACTTTTACTCCTTACTCCCTATTTCAGGTTCACAAGTGTTTCCTGTTGTGCAATGCATCTACATCCACGACAGACTGAGCTGACACTCCAGGGCTATTAGGAGAGCTCTTAGCAATGACCCTCCATACACCCACTTCATGATAACCCATTTTGTATCTATTGTCCAAGAATACTCTGGGGTCCATTGATTTGCTTCCATGTATGATCCTTGTTTCTAAATTTACAATGGGTTTCGCATCCACTGAGTTTTCGGTGTTCTCCATGGCCATTTTTCTTAACTTGTGACTCCCAGGGCTTCAACCAGCAGAACCCACCTCTTGGCTCTGCTCGGGGCCTGCATGGTTTCCAGACATTGTTTTGGGGAAGGGCCAACTAAACCCTGGCTCAGAGCAGCCCTGGGTTGTCCTCATCTCAGAGCTCCCAATGTTGAAATCCGACAGCAACTGGATGAGCAAGGGCCACAGGAGACGTCCAGGGTGGAGAGGTGTAGGCAGACACAGAAGGCCAGCCAGAGTGCTGCTGGCTGAAGACTCAGGCCCCAGACCCACAGTCAGACACCCGGATCAGACTGAACTTCTGGGGAGCTGACAGCAGAGAGTTGGGACCCTGCCCAACCCCACTGCTAGCTCGCTGCAGACTCACTGGGGTCATGCAGCAGAGCTCTGGCTCTGATTTGGGCTCTGCCACAAACTGCAGAAAGCCGAAGACAAGCACAGGTTTGAACTCACAGAAGTGTTTCGGGTTTTTTTATGGGAACTGGAGAGGTTTATTTCTTTTTTTATTTTAAAGAAATAAAATACAGGATTTCAAAGCAAAATGACAGGAAATTAATAATGGTTGTAATATTGCATATATTATCTTCAAAGTTGTTGTTCAGATGACCAGATATAGTCATGCAAAGTTGATCAATTAGGCATTAACTGTTCCTTTCAATAAACCAACAGAAATTAGTGGTACAGTTATCTTAGCTATCTTGTGTATATACATATTTTTCCCTTCCTCTTTCTTTCCTCCTTTCTCCCATCCCAGTTCTTTCCTTTTGAGCAGTTTCTTTCCCTTTAGCATTTATTGTACCATTTGGGTCTTATTTACAAGAAAATGCTCA